ATCTAGATCTTCAGGGAATTTGATTTTTACCTTGCTCTCTAAGGAATTTGATTTTTATTTTAGACAATGTAATATTCTGGATAAACAATGCAATTTTGTGTAAACAATGTAACAATGTTTTTATGTAAACAGTGTAACAATGTTTTTATAAAAAAAAGAAATAGTCTTATCCTTCGGTTTTCAAAATAAACCGAGATGAAAGATACGATAGTTTTGAAAACCAAAGGGATAGTTAATATAACACCTGGATTTTATAGTAAAACCGAGCTGGTTAGTAATCATATTTGACTATAAAAGCACTTGTTAAAGAGATTTTACCCTAATGCTAAATATGTAGCCACCCAAAGAGAGAAAATATTCACCACCATCCATTTCTATCATGAGTTGCTACTACATATCTCTAGGATGGATTGCAAGTGCAGAAAATAAAAAATCTCATTGAGAAACAGATCTCTAGCACCTTGCATGAGACCTGAACATGTAAAATAAAATTTATCATTGGAAAACAAAATTTTACAATGTATTTTTAATATTCTATGTAAACAATGTATTTAAAAAAACAACATATTCACCTGATTTTCTTCTTGGCCGAGGGGATAATTAAGCATTTTTTTAATATATTCAACCTTCTTAAACAAATATTTTCCGTCTATTTAATGTTTATCAACGCTCATGAATCTGCCATTAGTGATCTGCGTATAACCTAAGAGACATCCATTATAAAAGCTTGTTGAATATTCGTAATCTAACCTATATGGAACATGAAGCGCTTGAAACATAAAGACGTTTGGAAAACTTCTCTAAGATGGATTGCAATAGTAGAAAATTACTTGGCTTTTAGATTTATTTTCTTAATTATTTATTTGAGCACAAAATCATATATTTGAATATTGATTTTATTTATCTAACCCTTATATTGTTTTACTTCAGAATCAAATGCATGTAAGATCTGAAGAGAATAACCTTGCACCCAACATTTGTTCTTCCCCAAGATTCAATAATTCAAAGATCTAAAATATAGATCTCCAGGGAATTTGATTTTTACCTTGCTCTCTAAGGAATTTGATTTTTATTTTAGACAATGTAATATTCTGGATAAACAATGCAATTTTGTGTAAACAATGTAACAATGTTTTTATGTAAACAGTGTAACAATGTTTTTATAAAAAAAAGAAATAGTCTTATCCCTCGGTTTTCAAAATAAACCGAGATGAAAGATACGATAGTTTTGAAAACCAAAGGGATAGTTAATATAACACCTGGATTTTATAGTAAAACCGAGCTGGTTAGTAATCATATTTGACTATAAAAGCACTTGTTAAAGAGATTTTACCCTAATGCTAAATATGTAGCCACCCAAAGAGAGAAAATATTCACCACCATCCATTTCTATCATGAGTTGCTACTACATATCTCTAGGATGGATTGCAAGTGCAGAAAATAAAAAATATCATTGAGAAACAGATCTCTAGCACCTTGCATGAGACCTGAACATGTAAAATAAAATTTATCATTGGAAAACAAAATTTTACAATGTATTTTTAATATTCTATGTAAACAATGTATTTAAAAAAACAACATATTCACCTGATTTTCTTCTTGGCCGAGGGGATAATTAAGCATTTTTTTTTAATATATTCAACCTTCTTAAACAAATATTTTCCGTCTATTTAATGTTTATCAATGCTCATGAATCTGCCATTAGTGATCTGCGTATAACCTAAGAGACATCCATTATAAAAGCTTGTTGAATATTCGTAATCTAACCTATATGGAACATGAAGCGCTTGAAACATAAAGACGTTTGGAAAACTTCTCTAAGATGGATTGCAATAGTAGAAAATTACTTGGCTTTAAGATTTATTTTCTTAATTATTTATTTGAGCACAAAATCATATATTTGAATATTGATTTTATTTATCTAACCCTTATATTGTTTTACTTCAGAATCAAATGCATGTAAGATCTGAAGAGAATAACCTTGCACCCAACATTTGTTCTTCCCCAAGATTCAATAATTCAAAGATCTAAAATATAGATCTCCAGGGAATTTGATTTTTACCTTGCTCTCTAAGGAATTTGATTTTTATTTTAGACAATGTAATATTCTGGATAAACAATGCAATTTTGTGTAAACAATGTAACAATGTTTTTATGTAAACAGTGTAACAATGTTTTTATAAAAAAAAGAAATAGTCTTATCCCTCGGTTTTCAAAATAAACCGAGATGAAAGATACGATAGTTTTGAAAATAATAAAACTGTTGCTGATGGGGTTCGAACCCATGCACATTTAACTTTACTTCTCGGTTTTAATACCACCGAGGTGATAAGTGACAAGTTTTCATGTTGCCATTCGTTACCTCGCTTATATAACCGATATAATATGCATTTTGCGTCTGAGGTAAAAAGCGCTTTTTGTAGCAGTGCCTGTTGGTTTTCTGCACAATCAAAGTTCAAGACCAAATGAAACATGTTCAATAGCTTAACATAATCAATACGTGTCTAAAATATATTAGGAATAACATTTGATTCCTCCATGTTTTCTGGTCTATCACATGTACTTCTCCTTATGAATTAGGGTCAACATATTTCATTTATGTGTATGGGTCTCTGATAGTAGACATGTATGTCATGATTTTGCCTTATACACTTGCGTCGTAGTTGTCAAATTATCAACATCCTTTTATTTCAACGCAACCATCATGAACCTCGACGCCATGTGGTATTTTTTTCATGTCATTCACAAACTGCTTTTCATAAGGTTTTAAACGGTCTAATATGTCATGAAACTATAAATTAGATCATGGTTGTGAATACCACATATCTAAACTTAAATAAATATTTAACTCTTATGTTTCAACTGCAACTGTTTGACACATATATCAACTTAAATGGACGTTTAACTCTTCTACTACAAGTAACTTGAGACAATTTCTGATTCTTATAGCGTACTCCTCTCTTACAACCCATAATTAATTTGTCTTTCCTATCTCTTTTCTCAATTTCAATATCCGAATAAAGTGTATTAATAATATATTTTTGCTTCCCATAAATTATTTTCATGATAACACCTCAGTCCCAAAGAAAAATATTTATCAATTAAAACATTTAATGAATTATTCATAATACCATAACTCGATTAAAAACATCAAAATTTTATATAAGATATATGAATAATATATGCCAAGCCCCCACAAACTATTAAAAAATCTACGCACAATGTCATTTAATATATTGGCTAGTATATCATTTGTTATTATAAATAGGTAGTTTAAAAAATGTTTCACTATTTATTATACATCTTTTTTTAATTTCTAGAATTGTTTTTACTATATAAATAGTTTGTTTGAAAATTGTTTTATATATCATACATCTAATACTATTATACAGTTTCTATAATGCGTGTGTAACAATAATTGAGGGCCTTAATTTTAGGTCGGATTTTATAAAAATATAATGAAATAGATATAGAATTATATTTTAAAAAATAAACATTTCCTGCGTAGTCTATCAGATTATGTGAATTTTAGTATAGAACGTTATCAATTTGAATTCATCTGCAAAATATTTAAACTGTTTCATAAAAATTTATTTGGACAAGATCAATTTTTAGATGTACCTCACTCTTTATATATATTAAAAATTAAAATTTTATAATATAAATATTTGTATATATTTGCCCCCACTAGTTAAAAATTCTGCTAGAACCATCTTTCTCATACACACATAAGAAGAACATGTTTAAATAACTATCACAATTTTTAAGGATGAGAAAAATATACGATATACTATATTTCTGAAAATCATATATTCTCTTTGCATTAGATTGATATGGAAAGTTAAAAAATTCCTTAAAGGTGATTACTTTCACCATAATGTTTATCTCTTATGGTGAAGTTTATATTTCTTCTATATGGGTGTGATGTATATTCTATCAAGAGCAACATGTTCTTTAATTTTTAACCGTTATACAACATTCTTCTTTTAACATATTCCCCAATCTTCATCTTGAGACATAAAGAAAGTAAACAATTTATTCTTCCACTAATAAAATTGTTCAAAATCTTTTTATTAAATGCATTTAGTTTAGTTAGAAACTAATGAGTGTCATGTCATGATTAACAATGTTAGAGGTAGAGGTAAGGTTAAGGATAAACTTGAGTTCATAAGAGATGTTTTTTCAAAAATCTTTTACTCATACATGAATAAGTGTTCAAATAAGAAACATAACTCTAATGCGAAATGAAGGTAAGAAAACACAATAAAAAGAGAGTTTGAATTGTCTTGCATTTTTTAGAGCGTTTTCAATAGCACAATAACAAAGGATTAAATGTTGAATGTAAATAGAGTATGGGAAGATTCTCATAGTTTATTCTAGTTCATTTTGTTAACTACAACCTTTGATTATTAACTACACCTTTTTTGTGATACATTTATTTCTTTAAAACCATAGGTATTTTGAAATAGAAGTACTCAATTTTGTTCTCTCTGTTTCACAATAAGTACTCAGATGACTATTTTACACAAATTAAAAAAATAAAAATAAAAGAAATAATGATATTTTTATTAAAATACTCTTATTATTTATTTGAAATATTAAAAATAATATTAATTGAAATATAAAATTGAAAAAAATATATTAAAAATTAAAATAAATCATCTATTTTAAGACATTTTTTTATTATAACGAGTCACTCATTATACTAGTTAGATACTCTCTTATGTATTGTCTTGAGGTGTCCAACTTGCTGTAATCTCAACCTTTGCATTAGGTATCATGATCTTGTAGATATATTAATTTAAAATCTCAAATAACTTTAAAAAAAAAAGATATAGTATTAAATTATTGAATGATAAGTAGGTCTTAGACTTTGATTATTAAGTACCAAATTCTTTATTTATCCCTATTCTCAAACAGACACATATAAAAATATGCACAATAGCAAAACAAACACCACCATGACTATACATAGCAACAATAATTCTAGCACCAAGGTTTCATGGAAGATTTGAAGCCGGTCCAGTCGAAGGTTGATAGAACTGATACGAAGTTTCAAATCTCAAATTACAACTGGGCCTAACAATTCGAGCACCAATCCTATTACTACAACATCTCGAAACTTCAACAATAGATGAAATCAAACAATCATCACACTGTGCACCGCTCAAATCAGGTGTACACTGAACAAGACCATATATCATTTCACCACTACTCGGACCTGCCAATGTTCCCACAACATACTTCCGATTCGACTCACCTTTCACAGCTTTGCTTCTCAAATCATTCAACAACTGTTTCACAACAACGTTAAACTGATCTGCCAACGTTGCGTTGTTCATGTTCCATGCAAAATAAGCAGGTCCGATTTCGTTTAACCCTAATATCGAACGGTCTGAATAACGTAACATGCATTTCTCGTCCTCGAACCAACCAATTGCTTCTTTTTTGTTTGGACATGCTTGTGTGAGATTGGATTTGGAGCCAATGAGACATTTGCGACAGTCTTGAAGATTAATGTCTCCTCTACATAGTCCTATTAGGTTTACTTTGTCGTTGGTTTCGCCGTAACTGGTGTTGGTGAAACCGTTGTTGGGGTTAAGGTTGTAGTAAGCAAGGTGTATAAAACCGACTTTGAGGTTGTTGTGGTAGGTATCACCGGTTATGTAGTTACCTCTGTCGTTGTTTTGGTCACAGAAGAAGTGGAATTTTTGGTCGTTGTTGTCTGCTTTGGATTTAGATGTGAGAAGGATAGTGATGAGAAAGAGATTACAAAGGAAGGAGTGTGGAGTTAAAGAGAGAATAGACATGTTGATTTGAAGGTTTACATATAGGGATGAGTTTTTATAGGCAAATTAAGATGAAGAAACCTTTCTTGGTGAATGGTGATGTTTTATATAATTTGCAAAAAAATTTATATTAATATTTAAAGATTGAATAAGTGAATCCACTAACTAGCCAAAAGAAGATGGCTAATTTTTTAAGTTTAAGTTGGGGAAAAGACATCGACTACCACTTAGGGTCACTAGTACAAATTTGTTATTGTAACTTGGGGGAAAAAGACATGGACCACCACTTATAGTTATTAATCACTAGTAAAAATTGTTTTATCTAAATATTTTTAGCTAAAAAAATTTTTGATCTTACTACTATTTTAATTATTATTTTCAATCCATAAGGGATGAAAAAAGTTGTATGGAGCTGGTCTTTGTCTAGTATAAACTTATGATTAGTCATTTTTCGATCATGAATTTTCTCTTCTACGATCTCTTGTTGCTTGTAGATTCCAACTTCTTTCTTTATTGTTGAATTTGTTGGAGTAGTTGTTGTAATCGCCTCTTCCTTTTCCTCAATGTCCTCGTCCACGTCAACGATCTTGGCCACTACCTCATTCTCTTTGATTCTTGTAATTCGCAAAGTTTGCTACCTTTACGTTGAGTTGTAGTAGTTGCTCCATAGCCTCTTTTGTTTTTCTTTGTATGCTTGTAAGAAATCCATGAGTGGCTCAATAGTCATGGTTTTAAAATCCTTGTGTTTCGTCAATGTTAGTAACAATAAAGTCAAAACTTGAATTTGAAGTTTAAAGTATTTTTCCATGACTTTCCCCTCATCAACATCTTCACCATTTCTTTTAAGTTGATTGACTATGACCAATACTCGAGAAAAATAATCAAAAACTAACTTGGACTCTTCCATAAATAAATATTCAAAGTCACCTCTAATAGTCTGAAGACAGATCTTTTTCACATGTTCCACTCCTTTGTTGCAAGTTTAAAGCTTATCACATGCTTCTTTGGCCGTCATTGCATTGAAGATCTTCTCAAATGAATTTTCATCCGCCAATTGATAAATGAGGAAGAGAGATTTCTTGTCTCTCTTTCTTGACTTCTTCAATATTTCCTTTACACCTTGACTTAACGAGGTTTCATCTTACTCCTTGATGCATTTGTCAACGATATCTCACACATCTTGGTCTCCTAGTAGTGCCTTCATCTTAATACTTTAATTGTTATAGTTTTTCTTTGTGAGCATCGACATTTGATAAGAGAAACCACTATTCGCTATCTTTTTAGGACCTTGAAACTCTGGTACCACTTTATTGGGAATAAGGTCTTTTGTGTTTTGGGAAAATGTGTGAAAATATTGAGGCTTGAATATAAACTTGATAGGTAGGAGAGTACTTTGTGGAAGAGATAAATTTGTATTTTTACTTGATAAAAAAGTGTAGGATTACATCTTTATTTATAGTACTCAAAGTAGAACTCTAGACACACTAATTCTAGAGATGTCTCAACTCTAGAAATCCCAAGAGTATTCTGTAAAATATTACAACCTTAAGAAATATCTAGCCAATATAAACACTACAGGAGTTTTCTTAAAAAAATATCCAAAATTACCTAAGCCCAAATAACCTAACCCTAAAAAACCAAAATACAAATAATAAGGTTAGGCCTAAATCAAGTTTAATATTTCAACACCCCCTTAAACTTGATTTATGACTCCGAGCATTATCATTAACTTCATAAAAGTTTCCAACTTAAGTGACTTGGTGAAAATGTTGGTAGCTTGATCTTAAGACATCACATATTTCAACTTCACCTCCTTCTTCTCGATGCATTCTCTTATGAAGTGGTAACATGTATCAATGTGCTTACTCTTTTCATGAAAGACAGGATTCTTTGCCAAAGCAAGTACTGATTTATTGTCAACTTATATTTCTATAGGATATTCTTATGGCATTTTTAACTATTTCAACGAGTTCCTTAGTCAAATTGCATAAAAAACACATGATGTGGTAGCGACATACTCAGCTTCACAAGTTGACAGTGTGACGATAGTTTGCTTCTTTGACATCCAATTAAACGAAGTATCTCCCATAAAGAGCATAAAATCAGTAGTGTTCTTTCTATCATCTAAGTCTCCACTCCAATTACTATCATTATAGATAACAATTTCATAATTGTTAGAAGAGTAATAGTGCAAGCTAAAGTTTATTGTACATTTTATGTATCGAAGGATTCTCTTTGCTGCCTTTAAGTGAGTTGTTGTTGGAGCTACCATGTTGTGACTTACGACTCATACAACATAAATAATATATGTTCTTGTACATATTAAGTAAGGTAGACTTCCAATCAAACTTTTGTAAAGAGTTGGCTCCATAATCTCTCCATTTTCATGCTTGCTCAACATGCTTCCACATTCCATCGGGGTGCCAACCGGATTGACATCATCCATTTTGAACTTCTTAAGGACTTATTTGGCATAACCTTCATTGACATGTCTGTCTTGAACTCTTTGAACATGATTGGATTATTCCCTGTGAATATTTAGTCATCTACATACAAGCACATTGTCAAAAGACTCCACTTCGTGCTTTAATATAGAGTGCAATGCCCATATGGACACTTGATGAAGTTCTTGTCTTGAAAGTACGTATCAATTCAAACATTCAAAGGTCTCGATACTTTCTTGAGTCTCTACAACGCCTTCTTCACCTTCAAAAAAATTTCTTCTTGCCCTTTTACTTAATAGCCATGTGTTTGCTCAATATAAACTTCTTCTTTGAGAAAACCGTTTAAGAAGACCGACTTGACATCCATTTGATAGATTTTCCATTCATTTTGGGATACCAAAGAAATGATTAGTCTAATAGTTTCAAGACTATGAGAGAAAATACCTTATCATAAACAATTCCTTGTCTTTGACTATAGCCTTTTGTCGCTAATCTTTCTTTGATGCTCTCCACGTATTCTTTTGCATTCTTCTTCACCTTTTACACTCATCTTACTCTGATTTCTTTGTGTCCTTCTAAAAGTGTAGTAAGTTCACATGTATCATTATTCATGATTGACTTGATTTCTTCGTTCATGGAGTCTCCCCACTTTATGTTTTCAACCGTTTCTTGATAGCGTAAAGGCTCACAATCACCAAAAAGACAAAAGAGGTTAATGTTGTTTTGGTTTTTGGTTACCTCATAAATCTCTTCAATGCTCCTTAGTCATGGTGTCTTCTCACTTGATCTTGTTCCATCCAAACTTTGTATCGGTGAGGCGGGTGGTAATATGTTCCTTTATCATTGGTTGTTCCATTTTGTCTCTTCTTCAAAGTAAGGAAGAAAATCGTATCTGTCTTCTTGAAGACTCCAATCCCTAAAATCTTCTTTTTCAAACTCCACGTCACGACTTATGACGATCTTTCCACTATTTAGATTATAGAGCTTGTATCCTTTGGAGCTTGATTTATAACCCACGAACACATACTTCTCACTTTTATTATCGAGCTTTGTTCACCTTTCATCTAGAACTTGGGTATAGGCAATGCTTCCAAACACTTTAAAGTGAGAAATTCCAGGCTTCCACCCACTCCATGCTTTTTGTAGTGTCTTCTCATGCACGCTTCTTATTGGGGAACAAGTTTTCAAGTAATTGCACATGCCATTGCTTTGGCCTACAACTCCTTTGGCATCTTCTTGCTCTTAAGCATGCTTGACACCATGTTAAGTATGTTTCAGTTCTTTCTTGCCTCTAATCCATTTTATTATGGCAATCTTTGCACTATCAGTGGGCGAAGGATTTCATGGTCTTCACAATATTTGTGGAATTCATTTCAAGTGAACTCTCCTCCTCGATAAGACCTCACAACCTTAATGGAAATACCACTTTCTTTCTTCACAAGGGCTTTGAACTTCTTAAAGTTTTCAAACACTCCTGACTTCTCCTTTAAGAAATAAACCCATGTTTTTTCTGGAATAATCATCAACAAAGAGGAGAAAGTATTTACTGTTACCAAAAAAGTTTGGTTTGATTGGTCCACAAACATTGGTGTGTAGGAGCTCTAGCGGTTTTTTAGCTCTTGATGTTGATTCCTTTGGAAAGCTTTTCCAGAATCGCTTCCCAATTAAAGATCCTTCGCAGAGTTGGTCTAGGTGGTTGATGTTAGGCAAGCCTCTCACCATCTCTTTATTTTCCAAATATTCTTGACTATCAAAGTTGAGGTGTCTGAATCCTAGATGCCATAGCCATGAAGAGTCGGTATAGCAAGCCTTGATACACTTTGCCATATTATTTTGAATGTTTAAGAGGAACATTCTATTCTTTAACATATGCACCTTAGCAATCAAGACATGTCTACACTCTCTTAAGAAAATACTATGTTCTTTCAAGTGGATGTCATAGCCTTTCTCTAATAATTGTCCCAAGCTCAAAATATTATTCTCCATGTTAGGCACATAGTAGACATTGTATATGAATTGATGACTCCCATTCTTCAAGTGTATGAGAATTTTACCTTTTCTTTTGACTGGTATCTTTGAGTCATCTCCAAATGTGACATTGTCAGTTGTCTCTTCATTGATCTTTATGAGCATGCTTCGATCTCCATACATGTGGTTACTTGTGCCAATGTCAATGTACCACTTATTTCTTTTCTCTTCAACTTGGTTTTGGCACCCGAGCAACACATTTTTTTCTTCTCCACATTTTTCTTCTACAAAGTTAGCTTTCTCCACAATCTTCTTTGAAAATCTACACTTTGATGCGTAGTGACCGATCTTGTTGCAAATGAAGTACTTAATTTGTAATTTATCGCACCTCGACCATGAATTTCATCTTTCACGACCTCTTGTTGCATGTAGATTTCAACTTCTTTCTCCATTGTGTAAGTTGTTGGAGTAGTTGTTGTAACTGCCTCTTCCTTCTCCTCTATGTCTTCGTCCATGTCCACGATCTTGGCCATGACCTCATCCTCTTTGCCTCTTGTAATTCGCATAGTTTGCTTCCTTTTACGTTGAGTTGTAGTAGTTGTTCTATAA